TTTAAGAAATGACTGAAATCAAAAATTGGTGCCGTCAATGGAGAATCAATTTCAACTCCGAAAAGTTCGAATATTCTTTTAATCCGATGCTACAAACGTAATCATCCTATTACCAACGCTGTGACTCCTTTCGAAAATGCATTCCTCTAGTCAATAACGCAAAGTATCTGGACATCACCCTTAATAAATTCTTCACATGGTCGACTCACATTAAAGCTGTCAAGGGAAATATTTATACAGTCATACGAAAACTATTTTCTGCTATAGGATTACTCGGGACTCCGCATGGAACGCAAAAAAGGTATTTACACCGCAATCGTGCGTCCCATCTTCTCCTACGCATCACCTGTATGAACTAACGATACAGAAAAATGATATAAACAAGCTACAAGTAATACAAAACAAATTTCTTCGAATTATTGCAGGTGCACCGTACAAATTAGGAACAAAAATCTACATAAAAGACCTCAAAACCCACTACGTAAGAGATCAATTAACACGTTGAGCGCGGCGCCGAATTTGCTGTCCTTTCCGTTCAACCGGCAGCGAGCTAAGCCGTATTTTTGTTTAGAATGTTTCAATACAATTCATTAAAACTAAATTTGATTACATTTCATTGAGCTATATTTAATTTTTAACTTTACTACTGTCGGTCCCGCGGACTGACGCCAGCCAAACGAAAATTCCACTGCAGGACCCTAGGGACCGACGCCGGCCACACGGAAAGTTCACTGCCGGTCCCCGGGGACCAGCGCCGCTCTCAACATGTTAAATAAACACAATGAAAACTTCTAAAGTAAAGCCTCAAACAAATTATGCATCAACCTTCACCAGCAGGGATAAATAGTCTCTTCTAAGTCCTGTTCACCAGTTCCAAATTACGAGATCTTAGAAGACTTGTCTGCTCGGAAATTTACAGCCCATTTTCTTAATATGCTAGGGCAAAACATTTAATTTCCTATTTCAGCTCCGTTAAGCCCTATTTACAGGAACTCAATCTTGCAATCATCCTTTCCACACTTCGATCCGACAATAAGCCAGCTCAGGTGGACACCGCGTTGTGCCTTTGGCACTTAATTAGCAAAATTAATTTCTTTTATAAATTCAACTTATTTTCAAACTCATTTCTGTAATTTTTCCACCTACGATAATTACTTTAATTTTTTTTTTTTTTTTTTTAAAGTTGAAGAACTATGGTGAAAATCTGCTTCCAACTTTGCAGCCAATTGAGTGAAGAAATCATGTGTGTGTGTGTGTGTGTGTGTGTGTGTGAGTATGGCAAAGCCTCGAGGGCTATCTGCCTAAGAGGAGGGATGCCTTCGTGGAGGACTTTCTAAGGGAAACTGGCTCGTATACACGTTACACATGGGGAAAACCACGAAAACGCCCATGCAGCCAGCCCGTTCGCGGGATTCGAACCTCGGACCGAACTACCAGTGTTCAGCGACTTTACAGCTCGGCCGCTGGTGGGCCCGAAGAAATCATGAATTCTCGTCATCACGTTCTCGAATTAGATATTTCCCTCAGAGATTTTTTATGACCAGGTCCATTACCGAATTATTCAGAACAACTGGAAAGTACTGCTATTGCAGTAGAAAGTCAGCATAAGTATATCTATATCAACTTTTCAACATATATATTTATATGCATGTAATGGTTCATTTGAAGCGTCAGCAAACGCTAAATGAATTATTTCTTTTAAGTTTCTTCCCCACTAAAATGCAACACTTTAATTACCAAGATCTGGAATATTTTTCAGTGCTAAATTTTCTCGAAACCGTAATTTTAAAACGAGATAAAATAGTTTCAGCGTGATCTGAAATTCAGAGCTTTTGGAATTGTATTTTTCGAACAACTGTAATCAATTTTGCCTTTTTTTTTATTGTTGAACAATCATTTGTTTTTCTCTCTAGCTTTTCTAGCTTTTCGACCGCAACTTATATATATATATCTTAATAAGAACACCTGATTGTTTAAGGATTAACGTTTTCATTCAAATATTAGTACACAATCCGTTTGAACATTATACATGAGAAATAATTAAAGAATAAACTATTTCTCACGTATAATGTCTTTCAGAACACTATGGGATTTTAAGAATGAAAATAGTAAGTTTTAAAATCAAAGATGCAATAAGAAAATATAGTGAAGAATTAAGTCATTGTTTAAGAGCAAAGCATGCAAGATTTAAAATTCCAAAAAATTATTACTTTGTAGTACACATTATAACACTTGTATAAATGATGATTAGTCATCCAAGTTTTAAATTCAAATAACTTTGAATACTGTGTTAAATTTTCAGTGGCTAGCATGCTGTTTTACCCACGTAGTTCAAGTGCTATTTGTTTACATTATTTCAAATCATTTTTTTAATACAATGGATGAATGATGTATGACAATGTAGGGATTCATTGGAGTAAAGATACTTACACAATTAGCAAAACATAAATATACACACAAAATGCTAGCAAAACGTCCATATACTCAACAATACTATAATATGCATATAACACAATACTATAACGTAATTCAGTTGTATTAACGTAGGTAAACAGAGGACGGTATATAAGAGAGGATAAATAATGTGGGAAGACTTTGACTGATTGAAGTCCAGAGTCTCGTGATATTGTTACGAATTTTGTACATAGAATAAATGATTTTAGGGCAATTATATTGTATTTTTATCACATATTATTATGTGAAATTGTTGTATTTTTCTGTGTAATGTAACATAAGAAAAATCGGTACTTACGTATTATCGCAACCAGGTCAAAATTCGCATAAATTGCGAAATTTGGCAACCCTACTTACGACAACCCTACGTGTTATACATAGTTTTGTAAAAAGAGCATGTGGAGATTCACAAAATTTTCCTGCATTTTCGTGCAAATTTTTGTAATTTATGAGAAAATAGCAGTGTACATGGATAAAGTGAAGAGTGTGCGCAATGCCATTTTAGTGCAATTCTGAGATGTTTTTTTAAGTAAAAATAAGTCGACGTGTACATAGTTATGGCGAATACGGTTTTTAATCAGTGCTAAAAGCAATAGCCAAAAGATTTCCGCCGAAAAAATAATTCTGCAACTTATTCAAATTCGAAACCGGAAGGGTTTAATTGCTATTTTATATTTTAAAAGAAAATAATATAAAAAACTGTATTAAAAATTATCTGTAATTAATAAATGTACATTTTCTTTCTATTCATACTTTTTTACTCAAACTTACAAATAGCGTCAAAACTTACGAATAGCGTCAACCTGGTTGCGATAATACGTAAGTACCGAAAAATCTAAAAGAGACAAGTTATGCCGGAAAAGTGAGAATATGGGGACAGGTGCAGTAAACTTTGAGTAAATGGGTATCTCGGTAATTTGGCGAGAAATCACAAAAGTCGCCAAATTTCTCGACATTTTGTCCGGTTCCTGCTTCACCATAATAAGTATTATAATTTAATAAAAGTAGTTGATCACTGTATTAGCTGTAACCGTAGTTCAACCCTCATATTGCTTTCCGGTAATTTTGAGAAGCAGTACTAGAAATAGCTCGACGGCCCGTTGAAAACTATATAAGGCGAGAGAGAGCATTTGCTCTCATTAACATCTCCGTTAATTGAATTTATTTTCCATCTATTTCTGCCTCTCCTGGAAAAAACATCACTGATGTTTTTCACCTCCGCCAGGCCCGTTTGGAACTCATTAAGGACCTGGTAAGAGCAGGAAAGGTAGTCACCTACTGTGGACCAGTATGATATAAAAGTATCAAAGTATCAAATGCTCTCAGTATTGTAGTTGCGAGTTGTTAGTTCAGTGGGAGCTGAGATATATCCGGATTAGCTTTCTCTTTAGGTGCGCTTTACATTGGGTTGTGTTTAGCGTTCTTAGTAGTTTGAAATGTAACTACCGGTTATACTCTGTGATACTGTAAACATATGTACATATTTTGCAGAAATTTAACTTTCGAGTTGTTTATTCTCCCATCAATAAAATTCCGAGTTCCATACTTAAGGACCCATTCCGGATATGAATTCCTGGGGTATTTATAGGATTCCTTGCCAGTGTGGTTTAATTTACATTGGCCAAACTAAGAGAGCCTTAAAATTTCGCGTCAAGGAACATGAGGCATATGTTAGAAAAAAGGAAACACAGAAGTCTTCTGTTGCGCAACATTGTTGGTCCGAAAATCACACTTTCAATTTTTCTGCTGCCAAAATTATTCAAAAAACATCTTCCATTGGAGAACTGGATTTTCTAGAGGCATTTCACATTCATAAAAATCTTTCTGTTCTAGTTAACGATCCTAATTCCAATCCAAATTTGCCTTCGGCCTTTAAAGAAATTATGTTTTAGTTCTGGTTTCGCCAACAGATGGCGACACTTGCTTATTCTTGTCCAGGCTTTCTTATCTTATCTAATCATTTTTTCCTATCTTGTTCATTTGCGGTTTTGCAGCTGAGGATGGTGGTTCGGTAAAACCATCGAAACTAGTCCTGTGGAAATTTTGTAAATATAACGCTGATTTTTGTTGTTTGTCTTCTGAATTAATATGTACAAGTGTTTCTGTGTAAAATTCCAGAGTTCTGAAATGTTTCTTTTGATAAAAATAAATTTTAACAATCTATTATCGTATTTGTGCATTCAACCTATTACGAACCCGTACGCACGCAACAATACTTACACAATTACCAAAACAGAAATACACACACAATATTGTCAAAACATACGTATACACAATAACACTATAACATGCATGTAACACGATGCGATAACGTAAATGAGTTGTATTAACACAAGTAAACAGGAGACGGTATACAGGATTGGAGTCCAGAGTCTCATGATATATACTTGTGGGGCATAACCTGTGAAACTACAGACATTATGCTTCCGGCTTCCCTAACCACTATACCGTCTGGGCGGCATCAAATCTCTAACAAAGCTTCTTAGAGTAGATATGGTATTTACATTTTATATGATCTTACAAAAGTATTATTAAAGAAAATAAAATTATCTTATACTCACTTCTCTGTTTTCGGCACATATTTTGCATAGCATGCGTATTTCTTGGGAACTGTTGTATGTATCTATTCTGCATTTTTCACATACCGCCTGTTGATAAATAATATTCTTTAAACATTCTACAAAATATTTTCAGAACATGTGATGCTAAATTTTTGCAGAAAGACTCGTTCAGTTACAACTAAACCAATTTATAGTTATATCACAAGAAAGTAATTTCTTCATTGAGAACCATTCCTATTCAAGCCGTAGTCTGATTTTATTCATATTTTTGGCTTAATTTTAAAACAATTAGAACTGAAGCAGATTTAGACTCATTTTGCCATTTAAGTGTCCACAGACAGCCTTTTCCCTTGCAGTCGAAAAAGGATTGTATAGTACTTCCATAGTCGTGTATTATTAGAGAGAACTTCGAATCTTTGAAGCTTTGGTTTTCGAAGTCTTTTTAAACAATAAGAATTCGATATTTTCTTCCAAATGCTTAGAATTATTTACTTGAATACAGCAAAGCACAGGAGGGCTATCTGCATACAAAAAGGATGCCTTCGCGGAGAACGTTCTAAGGAAAACTGAATCGTTTTCACGGTATATGTGGGAGAAATCACCAAATGCAATCAGTCTGTTCTCTAACCTAAGTAACCTAACTTAAAGTTAAAAGTGCTTTAACATGTTAAATCCTCTTTTTAAAAAATTTTACGCCGAAGAAAAAACGCCCGTTTGCTATGTTTTGCTATGCCCGTTTGCTACAACATAGTATATATAACTCCAAACACCAACAGGACTGATCTACCTTTTACAGCAAACCTTCAATAAAAAAGTCGATTAAAAATTCCTTGCTTGCATTGCAGTAAATTATTATTTAGTGTACGGAGGGGATGAAAAAAATTATTTCCCCACTAAAGCTAGATTTTTGAAGTTTTGCTTCAAATATTTACGTTAGAAAATAGTACTTCAAAATACGGATAGAACTGGTCAGGTACAATTTCATTTTATTTCAACTTACCATCGCACAATCAAAGCAATAAACGAAATTAGATCGAAAGAAGCCGAAAGTTACACCACACATTGAACAATTTGCTTTGCCGTCTCCTACTGTGTTTCTTTTCATATTCTCAAGCCTGCAAATCATTCTCCTGCAAGTAAAAAGATAAATATTTTGTGATTATGTATTAAAATGCAAACTTATAATTACAATTTTTAATTAGAAATTCATTGAAAAATACCTTATTTTGGCAAGCTGGGAAATCTTGTAACTATTTCTTATCCGGATATTACACCAGAATAAGATCGTACATTTTTAAAGCTAGGAATTACTATCTTCTAATCTTTTAACCTCCCCTCGCTGAGTTTCTGTTTTGTTCTTGCAGAACTACTAAATGTCCAAGCACAAGTCCGTCAATTCTCGCAAAATACACATCGGGGATCATAAGCTCGGAGGAACCGCCAGCGACATCTCACTGATGCTCATTTGGATTGAGATTTAGGGAAATAAGCATCTGTATTTTCAGAAACAATGAGTGTTTAAAATTAGCAGATTTCCCTTGCCAGATCTTTACTACGGTTAGCTATTAATAGAATATTAACTCTATAAGGTATTTTTACATGTTACGTTATTATTACATGTTACGTTACGTTACGTTTCACTACTATAGCATTTATCCTTCATGTGACATGACAGAATGCGAGTTCTGACAGTCCTAAGCAAGGAAGTTAGAATAGAAAGAGGAAACGTTTAACTCAGAAAGTGAATCCTCAGCGGCCATATTTCGCCCACCACCATGACTCTTGTAGTACTTACCTTTATCTATTTTATTTATTTATTTATTTATTTATTTTATTTTCGAAGTATGAGACCTTATATAGCGTGTGAATATACGAAGAGAACTTCTAAAAATATTCTTGACATTACTTTTCTTTCGTAAATATTAATATTTTCATGTAATTTGGTAAATGTGTTAAAAAATATGTTATGTTGCTTAGGAACACTACTATAGCATTTATACTTTATGTGGCATGACAGAATGCGAGTTCTGGCAGTCCTGGGCAAGGAAGTTAGAATAGGAGGAGGGAGAGTTTAACTCAGAAAGTGAATCCTCAAGCGGCCATATTTCGCCCATCACTATGACTCGTAGTACTTCCCTTTTCTTTTTTTTAATTTTCGAAGTGTGAGACTTTATATAGCGTATGAATATACGAAGAGAACTTCTAAAAATATTCTTGACATTACTTCTCTTTCGTAAATATTAATATTTTCATGTAATTTGGTAAATGTGTTGAAAAATATCACCGTGTCATATTTTCTATTTTAGATGAAAAAAAGAGACTTAATACTAATCAAATTATATTAAATGCATTTTCCTGTTTCTTTTTATAAAGTGATATCTTTGTTATTTAATATGCAATGATGTACACTAGGTATTAAGCCAATCTCCTTGGTCTATTCTAACCTTCTTAGTCTTCCGACAGATGGCTTTCTTTTTTACTATCAAATTGCCAATTCGAAGGTAGTTATCAGTCTTTGAATAGAGGATTTTTATTTATACTTCATGTTATAAAAATACATTGCGTATACTGTGAAAAATTGAGATGTGTATCGAGACTTACTAATTGTATTCTTTTAGTGTATAATCAAATACCTCCAAGAAAAAACTTGCTGTGATTAATTTTTGGAGTATATTGTCAGTGATGAAAATTTGCCAACAGACAAAAAAAAACCTTGCAAAGATATCAGAAAGAAAGAAACTAAAGCATAATGGATAAAACTATAAGGATTTTGATGGAGATGCTGCTGGTCTCTCAACAGCCATGGAACCATGAAACGTGCTGCCTATTCTTAAGAGTATTCTACAATTGCCATATCCCTTAAATAAATTTTAAAAGAAATTTGCTTATTAGTCCAAAGAAGCGTTTGCTCAGAAATGGTTATTAATTTCGTTTTGGCATTATGTATCGATTCACTTTTCAAACTGTTGCCACCGAAATTATCGCCCTGTGTTACATTGAAAGAAATTAAATAATGAAGAATGTATATACGTATGTTTGTATGTTTCAGCATTGTGATAAAACAACTGTATCTAGAGCCATCAAATTTTGAATAACGTAATCCTCCTCCGAATATGAGCATGTGGAAGCCCAAATTTAGAATTTGGAATTTGTTTTATTATCGATTTCTTATTTTGTAAAGCATTTATGAGTTTTTGAGTAAGAAACTCAACGATTTCAAAACGAACAATGGGAGCACTGTACGGGGGGAAAAAAAGCAGTTTTACCTCCAGCGCACGAGACTGCGTATCAGAAATTCTAAAGATATGCTCTTTTTAAATTATTTTGCAATATTGGTGTTAAATTGAATTTTATGGTTTAAGTGCGAAGAACATGATATTTAATAAATGAAGGTAACACAAAAAAACTTTAAAATAACGCCCCTTTGGCGTAATATAAAATTTGAAAGCTTTCAGATTTTACTTTTTTTATTATTATATAAATATAATTATTTAAAGTACTCGTAGTTGATATACATGGAATCTGAAAGCAACTGATGTTTAGAATAAAATGTAAATTTCGTTTAACAAAAATATATTCAGCAAATTAATACTAAAACAAAAACATAAATCATCTGTGTTTAAGCTAGATATTTTAGACCATTACAACTAGTATTTGGCTGATCCACTCTTAATATTTAAGTCAGCAAGGAATTACTTTCGTGTTCAAACTATTAATCTTTTACCTTCAGTTGGTACAATTTTACGCTAACTTTGAATTTATCCGGTAGGGAACATGGACTAATCGCCGGTATAGTATCACATCCAATTGTTATTGTGTTTATGCACAGATATTTTGTTCAGAAATTCAGTTTAGCATTATTCTATGTTCTGAGCTATAAACTTTTTCTGAATTTTATCTTTTTTGCTTGCGTTAATATAAATCGATACGTTCGTGGCATGGGAAGGACGAGGTTTTTTAGCATTTACTGAAGAGACAAAATATTATGTCCATCTATCTGAAATACTGTTATTCCACCTTTAGACCGCACTTTGTGACGGCGTGGATCGCTGAGTTTCTGTTTTGTTCTTGCAGAACTACTAAATGTCCAAGCACAAGTCCGTCAATTCTCGCAAAATACACATCGGGGATCATAAGCTCGGAGGAACCGCCAGCGACATCTCACTGATGCTCATTTGGATTGAGATTTAGGGAAATAAGCATCTGTATTTTCAGAAACAATGAGTGTTTAAAATTAGCAGTTTTCCCTTGCCAGAAGATCCTTACTACGGTTAGCTATTAATAGAATATTAACTCTATAAGGTATTTTCTACCTCCTTTCAGCATTCCTTCGTGATGTAACCGTAGCACACTGAACACTCGCATATTCGAGAGGTCCACGTTCGAGTCCCGGTGAGGGCGTAGCACATTAACTCTAGATGCTCCCCGGAAATGCAGTTTTAATGCCACCGGAAATCGTTTCTCAATGAAATGTCAAAGGTGTAACAAAATCTCTCGACTGATCCTTACTCAAAGTAGCAAAAAGATTGTTTGAAACTTTTTTTTTTTTTTTTTTCAAGTAAAAGAACAATCAAGTTTTAAAGCAATGTTTAACGAGAAAGTTTCAGCTAAAAAATGCTCATTTCTGGAGGAGGGGTGGGAGAATCGTTTAGCTCATCCAATACTGATGTACAAAATACTTTCGTTGTCCATTTTCGTTGCGCTACTCTTGAATCCAGCTTCATATATTACAGTTCCGAAACTTTTCCCTTGTTTTCTGCATTTTATTATTATTATTATTATTATTATTATTATTATTGTTATTGTTATTGTTATTGTTGTTATTGTTGTTATTGTTGTTACTGTTGTTGGTGTTTGTTATTTGTATTGTTATTATGTTATTGTTATTGCTATTGTTATTGTTATTACTATTATTATTATTATTATTATTATTCCTATTTTATTATTATTATTATTATTATTATTATTATTATTATTATTATTATTCTTATTATTATTATTATTATTATTATATTATTAATTATTATATTATTATTATTATTATATTATTATTATTATTCTTATTATTATTATTATTATTATTATTATTATTATTATTATTATTATTATTATTGCTCAAATATTTCTCACCCTATTCTTTCTTCTTCAATAAGATCGATTTTCCTGGCTCTTTCCAAAACATTCCCAATGGATAACATTTCTGAATCTGGAACGGGTTCTACCTTCCGAAAGCATTCCAAGCTCCGAATAGACCATCCATAGTTAACCCTAAAATGCATACATACGTGTAAAAAAATTGGTAGAAGCTATTTGTTAAAACTACATTAAACTTTTGTTGAGAACAAAAGAACATGAAAAAATTATACTTAAATATTTATAAAAACATATTACCTCCTTCTTCAGGAGCAAATATTTATAGTAAACTACGTTCATGAAACAACTAACTTTAAATTTTACACTGGACCTGTTTCTATTTCAGGTTTTGTTTTTCTTTTCTTGTTGCCAACCAGTAATTTATCGTCAATTCCGCTTCATCTCAGTGGTAGTCAAATATATGCATGTGGGAAAACAGGTATAGTGTTAGGGATTTTGTATTTAATTTGCTATTTTTAATAGAATTAATTAAAATTGTTTTATGTCCCTGTGCAATGCAGCACGAGACTTATTCGAAGAGAAAGCTACGACGGAAAAATTAAATACAGGAGCATGCGCATTTAATACATAGCTATCTCGTAATTGTATTCTTTTGCTTTCCAGAAAACTCGAGAAATTACGAGAAGCTTCTCGTGACGGATTAAAAAGCTGGAGGAAAACTAGGTATTAAACTAGGTATTCGGGTGTTTTAGTAGTTTTTAGGCTAAAATTCCATAAGCTGGGTAAGTTGGCGCCAAACTATTTTGGCCATCTAAATTTGGCGAATTTTTAGGCGCACTAAATGAAAGCACTAAAATGTGATTTTTAAAGTAAACAGAATAGTAACTTTTAAAGTTCCAGTAGTGAAACGCCCTTATTTTATGAAACAGAATAGTAAAATGAGATGATAAAATACTAGATGAGTAAAACAAAGTCCAACGGCTTTGCAAGTAAAAGCATAGTCCTATGTATATGTAATTCATCATAAAATAGTAGAATGAACAATTTTTGGAAATAATTTTTGAGTAAATAAATGTATACACTTATCAGATCAGAGCACTGCGAAGTCAGTTTTAAACGTAAACAGAATAGCAAATTATGCGTATTCAGCATCATAAACTAACTAAAATATTCAAGTTACTATCGTCGTGGAATTCAACACACTAAACAACTTTCGTTCAAAGCTTTAAATACTCCACATCTTTCGATTGCCACATGCAAGAAACAAAACTAAAAAAAATTAACTAAATAAAATTCAATCAAAACATTCATAAATTATAAACTTCATGTCATATGAAATCCAACATTCTCCCACCAACAACAGCTTAAACTTCTGCAAATATTTATATAATATAATATTAAACATATATATAACAATAATATTAAACAGTAAAATTTTTAAAAACAAACACAATATTGCAAAATTAAATTTTTAAAAAAAAATCTGGCTACACTAAATTCGCGCTCTTACAGTTACCAAACTAAAGCTCTAGGTTTGCCACAAGAACACATACAGCCGGAAACCACAACCAAATTAAAATCGCGCCAAATAAAAAACTCTCGCTAAGCTTGGCGCTCACCCCGATTATGGAATTTTAACCGTTTTTTTAGAAAACTTTTGTTGTTTACTGTCGCGAATTCACGGTGAAATCGGATTAGCTTTCTCTGTTTTGAATTGTGTTTTGTAAAACGTTTTAGTACTTTAAAATGTAACTACTGTGAGATATTGTGATAGTGTACAATTATCTCTGAGGAAATTTAAGCATTTTGCATTTATTCTTAGGATAAGAATAAATTTTATTCAGTTTTCATCGGACTTGTGCATTCAATTCATTACGAACCCGTATGCACACAACAATATTTTGAAAATATCCGTTCTTGCTACCCTTTGATACTGTTGCATTTCGTATAATCTTAGTATGTCTACTAATGTCAGGATCTTAGTACTGTTGAAAATCATTAGTGTGAACGGAAACGCTTTCGAAAGACTGGATAAAGAGCTTAGAAGATGAATGCACTCAACAGTTGACTAAATAAATTATTACATATCATGTATTAAATTAATTTCATGCCTCCCGTTATGAGCAAAGTGAAAGAAATGCTCAGCATCTTCTATGGTCATGTCTGAGATGTTGAGCGTATGATGACCAATAAAATTGCATCAATTCTGTCACTTTTTATCTCTATTTCTGGCATTTGAAAATAGCTCTTTGCATGGTCCTAAGCTATTTTTACGGAAACCGAAAAGTGAATTGAAGAAAAGCTGAAACTTTTAAAAAACGAAAGAAAAAAGTATTCATTAGCGTAGATAAAGACTCATTTTTAAGGTTATTGTATCACCCAGGTGACTCTAATGATCTCACAATTATGACTGGGAAATATCAGTGGATGATTGGTTTGATCATCATCCACTTTCCTCCTTGCGACTGCTTTTACAAAAAAAACTTTGAAAAAAATGATAATATTTTGTATCAGTGGATGATTGGTTTGATCATCATCCACTTTCATCCTTGCGACTGCTTTTACAAAAAGAACATTGAAAAAATGATAATATTTTGTATTTTTAAAAAATTTTTAAATGAAGCTTCCGAGTACACTTCTCACATCTTTAAAAGTGTGATTTTGGCAACAATTTTCCTTTCTTATTGTTGTTGATAGATTTTTGATGAAATCGCATCATTTTGAATAGTTTCATTCTTTTAGAAATATGGGTTTGGCAACAATTTTTCATCGTATTTCTTATGTCACTGTTTTTAAGAGATTGGAATATTTCATTGTCATTTTTATATATTATATATATAATACTTTTTTTAAAAAAAGTTGATCTGCAGAGTAAAATTTTGCGCGGAATTTTTTGTTTTTTGTATTCTTTTATGTTATTTATTGCTCATTTCACTGTCTTTAAGATATTGAAAAGTTTTAAGTGATTTTTTTAGGAAACAAAGTTTTTAAACTCCTTTATACCATTTTAGTTCTTAAGATTTTGCAAAGGGAAGTTGGTTAATTTATTTATTAGAATAATTAATATTTGTATTAAGGGATATTGCTTATTTCATTGTAATTTTGTTAATTTTTTTTTATGAAGTTGTTCTACAGAGTAAAATTCTACGCAGTTTTTTAATTTAACGTTTGGTATTCCCTTCAGCCATTTTTCAGGTACTTAAAAGCCAGACGAAGGCTGACAGCGAAGCTGCTAGTTTGAAATAAAATACTTATTATTTCCGTTCACCAGCGAGTTGCCATTCAGTAAAGCGTTAAGTTATTTAATTTTCAAACTTAATCTTCCTGTTACTGAGTAGCAAATTAGGTATATGAAAAGCAACCCTTAGTAATCTAGAAGCTCTTTTTTTTCTACCTTTGATCGGATTGATTTAAATAAAAATACATTTAAATCCTGAGATATCTAATTAGAAATATTAAATTTTTATTAAATGACACTATTTGGACTTATGGAGTTTGGACTTATGGAGCAATCAATTCAATAGTGACCAAACACTTGGTAGACGTTAAGGGAATTTTTGCTGAGTCTAAAATAACAGCTGAAACCTAATAATGGTGTGGTAGAACCTTTTAGTCAAAACTAAGAAAAACAGAAGGCACACATAGTGCTTTTGAATCAGCCAACCACTTGTGGCGATGTAACTTATGCAAGATTTAAATGAAATGAACTAATAGCCAAAGGCTGCACAGATCAATTTATCCTCGAAAGTGGCTCAGAACTTAACCGGCGTGGATATTAAATCTCGGCGATTACAATCCAAGACCGAGGACTACAAATCTTATCTGATTAGTACCTAGTAACGTGACCTCGAGAGGCAAAACAAGCTCTGTCTTAGAATCTAAAAACCTCACCTCAAATACACACGAAATAACTTGCATTCTGATGAGAAAATGGAAGGAAGAAGGAACAGTAAAGATCCAAAACATAAAATAACTAGTTAATTAATATAAATGAACGTTACAGAATCATTAAAATTATTAAATACTTTTTTGTGATAATATTTTTAAGCGGCTGGCCGTTCGAGCGGCTAATTTTCAAATAAATAATATAGAGAATATAAAAAATGTATGGCAACCTCTCACACTCCATCGGGAATTCTAAAGATAAGCTGTTTTTAAATATTTTGGGATTTTGCTCTTGAATTTTACGCGGTATTAGTACGAGAAAGTGATGCTTAATAATAAAGCTAAAAAGACAAAAAAAAAATTGTTAGCAGATTGAGTCCAAGAGCAGATTGATAACCTGCGGCACTCAGTGAGAGCATAAAAAATCTTAGGTGCAAAGTTAAATTCTGAATTCCTTCAGATTTTCTTACCCCCCCTTTTTTTTTTCATTATTTATTATTTAAAATTATGATTAAAAATTCTCAAAACTGTTTTTATGAATCCAGAATAAAAGTAAATAGTTAGTAAACTTGGCCAAACGGCGTACATATAATGTATATAAAATTGTTCTAAAGAACAGTAGTACATTTAATTATTTTCAGTTTAGTAATTTTTTTAACAAAATAAATATACCAAAAAAATTACACGTATACATTAGAATAAGAATCAGATTACCTTGCACGAAGCATCAATTCTCTGTCACTTGGGCAGCACCAACTTTTACTGTTACTAGCTTTCATCTTTCTACTAGGAGGAGAGAAGAAGTGATTATTCATATTCATTCAAACTCGAAATATAAATGTTTAAAAACTAAAACATTAGTTATACCACAGTGCAATGAATCCTTTGTACGATGTCAATGAAATTTCAAGCATAAAAAAAGAGAACTAAAGTATAACCTATTCAGAACACGGCACGAGAAACAAAAAATGAATATCATAACACAGCAGAATGTATGCGTATCATCTCTATCATTATTGTCGCAAGCAACTTGTAGAGTCATTAGATTTTTTGAAAGCAGAAGAGATGAAAAATAAGCAATGTCCTCGCCGGAACTCGAACCCAGGACCTCCCGAATATGCGTCGAGCGTGCTGACCACTACACCAAGAAGGCATGCTAAGAAGGTGGGAGAAATACCTTATAAACTCAAAGGTTATGTAAATGAACTTTTTTCTTAAAGTTATTTTTCCCGCTTTGGCAACGCTGTATTTTTATTTTATGATTAAAATATGAGAAAAAAAGAAAAATGCGCCATGTTTTCATAGCTAGAGAACCTAGTAATACAATTACTGAAATTTTAATTGCCGTTAATTGACCTTTGCTTTTCATCAACTGGCTAGTTCTAATTATTTACTGTCCCATCACTTCCGCGAAGAAGTATGTCTGGTTACTCTTTTTACTCTTTAACCACTTGAGCTAAAAAGACGTGCCACGCACGTCGAGATGCTTTTGTCTCAAACCGCGAGAGACGTGGACACCACGTCGATAGGCATTTACCGCAAAAATGAAATTAACGTGGTGCACACGTCGCCTAACAACGAGATTGTTTATGTTTAGAAACGGGCACGAACTCAGTTAATACACAATAATTTAATATGTTCATTATAATGTAGATTTTTTGTGGCAACAGTTATGTTTTTTATATATTGCTTTGAGCTTGATAACTCACGGAATGTTATTCTTTTTGTAATGTTTAGAACGCTAAATAAATAAGTTCGTTGTTTATTAAAAAGGTTTTCTCTGCGAAATATATTACCATTCGTTCGAAGTTATTAAATAAGTCAAGAAATTGATTAATTTCAAACAGTTTATTTCTCGAGTTACAGCTCTGGATAGCACTCGCAGACGCGGAGCGGCGTAAATGAGACACTTTACCGCTTGTTATATTGTAGCGCACGGCACCGCAACCGTGAAGTTTAGTCGTAGCGCAAGTGGCTAAATGAGCGCGTCTGAAATATATAATAGTAATGAAAAACAATTTTGAAATAATAAACAGAATTCATTCTAACTGGTAAATACTCTTTTTTTTTTTCCTCCCATGATTAAGAGCGAAATCGTAAGAAAGCTGTAACTGATTGTTGTACAAATGAAGGTTTAATTATTTCTCGCTACAAATGTCAAATACGTACGAATTTGCGTTTAGTCGAGTTTAAAGATCAATCGGATGGCCGTGAGTGGGTTTATCCCGAGAAGAGTGCCCGAAACTGGCGCTCAAGGGCATGTGGAGACACGTGAGTTAAGCGTGAGTTTCGCAAGCAGGGTCTTCGCCAGTAGTCGGATGGCTTTTGCATTCCTACTTTGTGGAGTTTATGTGGCGTCGCCAGTATCGGGATCAGGAATAGAAGGATCAATTCCGGAAATATCATTATATATCTGTAGCAGTCATCAAACGCTGACATGAGATCCAAGTAAGTACACACTAGATGAGTACTTTTGTTGTTTTCGTAACATACGTTTTCGGCGTTGACAACCATCTTAGAAACATTGTTTCTTGGCGCTATTCTTGGGGTCATTAAAATCGGTAAAAATATCAAGAGGCACCCAATTGTAAACTTTTACCGGAAAGTTTCAGCTAATTTGTAATTCTGTATTCCAGGTAACCGTAACTTTGGTGCAGCTGTTATGTGCAGCGAACATCTGGAAAATGTCATGTATGGCTTTCGAGACACTCTCACGCACAGAACTGAAAAAGCTCATGATAAGGAATAGCTGATATTCACTTCTTAACTCACAGAACAGATTAAGGCTGGAAATGAAGTTCGCACACAGATCTATGAAAAACGTATTCAGCCTGCATAAATCACTGCCTGTTCCGCAAATATACTAAGACTTTTTCCAAACTCCTATCATCTGCCCGCCTTCTGACTGGACCCGTATTCAAGATGAAATGGACTCAAAACTCCCAGTCAACCTAACAATAACCAGTTCACCTCATTCCAGCGGTAAATTTGTATCTCCAAATAAAACTGCTAAATGCCATTAAAGCGAATTATCCCCTTCCCCAAAGTATTTACTGCAAATAAATATTTACTCTTCGAAAATCTTGTAAACACTGAAAATATGGAAATCCTACTCCTGAACACCTTGAGCAATACTTCTAATGTATCCCCACACCTAATGATGCAATCTGATCTCCTCTTCATGAAAAGAAAATCAGAATGATGAATTTATTTGCAAAACCATTCTAAATTTCTAAGAATCATTCTCAACTCGATCCAAGATTTTAATTTACTAAACGACTACTTGAAACTAAATGACAATGAAATTGGATTTTTCCTATATAAGCATAAATCTATAGAAAAACCATTCAAAATGGTTGTTAAAGGTCATTTCTTCAGTTGTCGTCTCGAAGAAGTTAACACTGCCCTTGTAAGGATCCTAAGTTTTACTAACGTTTATTTTATTTTAAAACTGTACTATCACATCTTATTTTCTACTTTCGGCCAGAATTAAATGCTTTAACTTGTTTATGCAAATTGTCTTGCTAACGCCCAAGGATTTAAGTTGTGGCTTTTTGCCAAGAGTTAGGCAGAGAGAAGGAGTTTTTACGAAGCAACCTCTTGCCACTGCAGTTTTTACGAGTTTTCACTCGGTTGCTGGTTGCTCTTAAAGCCAGAGGTTTAGCCCTCTTGATATTTGAGAACGTATTGTAGTTTCAGCAGCTCGGCGTACTACATACTACATACGTACCCTTTTAAATAAAAGCCAGTCTCAGTGCTAGGCATATGTATACTAATTCAAAGTTAGCTTTTCGTTACAGTTTTAGTTAGTAGTTTTATATTATTACGTTCAGACCACAGATTACGTTCAGATGGTCTCTGTATTCCGAAGTTCGGAAGTACCAGTAAAGTATTGAAAATAAAGGGTTTCGTATACCCTTCCTGCTTGTGTCGTCCGTTATACACAAATCTTGAACATAGCTTGAGTAAGCTCCCTGTTCTTATTCAGGACGCACCATGTTTCCAAAGCAAATCAAGAGAAACACAAGTCCTGACACCCTAAAAGCACATAGCTTAAATACAATCAAAACTATCCAATTACATTACCCTAAAGTCTTTATGCCCATATTCCAAGTCTAACTCTCTCTCCATTTAACCTTGACAAAGTTCTTGAAATTAGTAACCTCCTGCCTTTTACAGTGTTAATTGAAAAATTCAGACCGAAAAGAACATGTATACAGTGTTTTAAATGCCAAATTTATTAGGCCAAACCTCTATTTGCAGACATAAACCATACTGCATAAAATGTTCTGGCCCTTTTCTATCAAATGCGTGGGAATTGAAACACCTTGAAAAGCCAGTTTCGCGTAAATGTAATGAACCTCATGTATCCAACTGTCGTTTAGGTGGCTTTATATAAAAAGGGAACTGATCGCGCTCCCTTAATTCATACTAATCTCGCTTAAATCGATTTAAAAATTTTTAAAAAGAGGGGGAAAAATTAGACTCATTCAGTTTTTTCCAAATGTGTTTTATGTGCAGCTTACTGGAACCTTATTGCATACTATTCTAAATAAATGAGAAAGCAGTAAAAGTTCTTATAAGTCTTTTACTTTCGATATATATTTGGTCAATTAATTACGCAAAACCTTTAAACACTTAAGATTACAGAGCCTATGAAAGGGATTTTACAAAAGTAAATTAACTTTAACTTCCTTACACATTAAAAAGTAGAAAAAAACCTCGTGTAATCAAGCCATAAGTCTCGATATACTTGTCAACGGCTTTAGTTGCAGGGAGCTCGAATGGGACACTTTCAAAACAGAAATATCCTGATTTACTAACATGTTAGATCATAGCAAAACACACGAAGGTTATCTGCCTAAGAGAAAGGATAGCTTCGTGGACGAAGGAATGTGGGAAATCACGAAAACAAACCATGCAACCAGCCGTTCGCCTGGGATCGAGATGGAGTTGAATTCGCAGTATTCAACGGTTTTAACCATTCCGACCACTGGTGAATCCATTTATTAACACGAAATGGAAAGAAATAATGGTACTTTTCCGTTTCGCCGGCGCAAACCTCGCCATTTCCCTTTCTCCGGCGCAAATCTCGCCAAGCAGACCTTATTGGCGACAACACACAGTATACACATAAAAAAATGTTAAGAAATGTTAATTCTAAGAATTTTAAACATTTTTTGGTACTTTTCTATTTCGCCGGCGCAAATCTCGCCAAGCAGACTTTGTTGGCGACAACATACAGTATACACATAAAAAATGTTAATTCTAAGAATTTTTTTTATTGTGAAGGCATAAACATTTTAATATGGTTTAAAATTTTGTAAAAAGCCAATAAATAAAGACAATAAATTTGTAAAAAGACATTAATTTAAGATTTACTATGATTCATGGTCAAAATCCTGATTCGCCGGTTCGTAATCACGTGACCCAAGTGATCTCATCTCACGTAAACTACGCTACTAAAATTTAATTCGCTCAGTAATAATCTACATTAATTTCAAGTTAAATCTTAATTTGGAATACAAGTTTAAATGCAAGAATTATTCATCGTACAAATAGCTTACTCAGAAATTATGGTAAAACCGCAGTGCTTTACTTCGCTAGTCATTAGAATTGATGAATTTAACACTTGATTTCACCTTCGATGAGCGGTGTAATTGCGTTCTAATTTTACTTAATTACCGTGAATTGTCTTAGGGGATAAAATTTAAATATCGTGTAAAAATTCATATTATTGTATGCCAGTATTGAAAGAAACAATCTGATAAGAAATGGCTTCA